CGGGCGGGTGGGTGGGCTGGAGGGAGGGCAGCGGGAAGGGGTCCCCCCTCCGCCGGCACCGCCGGGAGTCGCGCCGAGCCGGAGAGCGGGATGTGCGTGAGGGGGGCAGCCGGGGCCGGGCAGGGGTGGGCAGGGGCAGCCCCTCAGCACGGGCGGCAGAGTTGGAGCCGCGGCTTTGGGGGGCTCCGCGGGTGCCCCGGATCGGGGGAGGAGGAGGAAGAAGGTGTCCCCGGGAGGTTGCAGCGGGAGGGCAGGGCACCTTTGGGGTTCGCTGTTCCTGCCGTTTGTGTATTTATTCTGATTCCTCCCATCTCCCGGGTGTGGGGCACGGAGTGGCGGCCGCGGAGCCCCCTCAGCCTGGGTGGGTGCTGCGGTTTGCGGGTGTTCGGGTGTTGTTCGCCGCGGAGTTTTGGGGTGGGCTGGTGCGACCTCCGGCGCTCCCTGTCCCGGAGACCCCCGGGGACGGCAGGGGAAGTAAGGGGGCTCCGACCTGCGGGGATGGAGCCGGGCACGGAGCCCCCTCGCTCTGCCGGGGAGCTCTGCCCTGGCTGGGGCTGTGCGAGGGCTCCGGGGGCTCCTTTTCGGAAGCTTTGTGCCGCTGGAGGTCGGGGAAGGGGGCTCAGGGGTGCCCCAAACCCCGCCGGCTCCCAGGGCTGCCACATCTCTGGCAGCTCCCGGGGCTTCGAGAGGTTTTCGGGGAGGGCAAAGGCGTGAAACCCCCGAAGGGTGTCTGTGTGCTGGAGAGTTTAACGTGGGAACGGGTGGGGGAGGAGGAGGACCCGGAGGGAAGTCATTCCCAAAATGTGCGAGGAGAACTTGGGTGGGGTGTCAGACGCGTGTTTGTTTTGTACTTCTTGGGAAGAGGTGGGGAGCGGGGGTGGCCGGTGAATGCTTGTGTGTCCCGTGTCCGGGATGGTTTTGGGTCAGAACGGTTTGACCGCAGGAGCGGTCGGGGGAAGCGGCAGGACATTCTGCTGGAGTGTTTGCTTCGGCTTCGAGGTTAAAACAAAACAAGATGCGAGAGTGTTTAGGTGCAGAATACACACCCGAGCTAGACCCCGCCGAGTTCCTCGACCTCAGTTTTGTCTGATAGGTGCTTTCATTTTTTTTTTTTTTTGTTTTTTTTTTTTTTTTTTTTTTTGGGTTTGTTTTTTTTTTTTTTTTTGGTTGGGTTTTTTCCCCCTTGTTGGTGGAGTGTCTCTTGGTATGTTTGCAGAGCACTTCTTCGGAAGCATTTTGTTCTTTGCGATAGGTCTGGAAAAGCCTCGGTTGGACGTGCTGTTTTTTCCCCAGTTCTTTCGTGTTAGGGACAAAAAAAAAATTTGCTGTTTTGGGGGGTGGGGAAGGAAGAAGGAAGAGGAAACGAAGGTTTAAGCATGTTCGTGAAGTCAGGTCTCAGTTTGTTCAGGTAACACTGGGAGCGTGATTCGTTGGCTTTTAAGTACAAAACGTTTATGAACAAAAAAACTGGGGAGATTTAAACTTTGTAGGCAGGAAAGCGTTAAAGTGATGGCCAGGGAACGCGGATCTGCGAGACGCTATCTCCATCCCCCTGCTTCAAACTAGTGGGGATGGAGGGAAGGAAAAAAGAAAACGCTGGGGAAAAATACCCCTACAATTTGCATGAATGATGCCTTGTAAAATACCGGAGCGAGGAATTGTGCTCTGCAGACGATTTGTGGGCTGGCGAAAGCCTGAAGTGCCTGCTCGGGTCCCGTGATATGACTCGCTCATTTCTGCAGGGCTCATCAGGTACAGGCTCTGCTTCCTTCCTGGGATGGTGCAGCTGGCATTTGATTTCCTCCATGGATGGGAGAGGAGGAGTCCTGTGCAGTTTTTTTCCCCGAGATGATTGCATTTTCTTTGGCCTTGCTGTACCCTGCCTCATTAGTAGGAACTGCATCTATACTTATTTACCATTATACCGTGTCCCTTGGGAAGCAGGGTGTAGTTTGGAGTAGGTATATATGGATTTATCACTCCTAACATTTTTTTCCTCCCATCGTGCTAAGACCAAATCCGTCAACAGCAGAGAACAAACTTAATTTATTTCTGTGTTTTGCATCTCCCTTTTTACCATTTCTCTTCCAAATTGCTAAGAAAACATCTCTGAGATGGAGAGAGAGGAGAAGGAAGAAAGGGATGGAAAACGTTGTCTGTGCAGGGATGCATTTGTTATCTGCATGTCCGGGGAGCACCAGTGTGAGGAAGGGCAGGGTTTGTTTCTCCATGTGAAAACTGGGGTTTGAGAATGTTCTTTTTCCCTTATGTGGAGATTATTCTTTAGCCCTGCGACAGCCACAACTTTTTCTGTCTGGTTGACAGAATTACCCGAGGAGCCTGGGCAGGAGGCTGGGAACAAGGAACTTGTGTTTCACTCCGTGCTGCCTGTTCTTCCTCCCCTCATTCCCTTAGCACCAGTGCAAGCACTAGAACAGGCATCAGCATTTTTACTCCTGTGTCATCCCACTGTTCCCAGCAGGTCTAGACGACATTGTGGTATGCAGGCTGCCAGCTGGGTTACAGGAATGCTACCCTAGGTGAAACGGCAGGATTTTTAAGGAGGGGTAAGGAAATCTGGGAGAAAATCCCATGTGAGTGAGGCCTGGTTTTCTCTAGAACTGCTTCACTGAGAGGTGTCAAGCAACTCCTTGGGTTTACTGACCTTGCTGGACAACGTGCATCTCTCTAGCATTGTGATTCTGATAATTCCATGGAATCTGTAGCTGCTGTCAGCTGCAGGGAGCTTATTTTTAAGGCAGTTTCTGTGTGGGTCTTACTGGTCTCTTACAAAGGGATATTAAAAGTTGATAGCTGTGCAGTGTTTTGAAAACTAAATTATTATGAAGTGTTTACTTTGTAGTGATAATCCATAGCTTCATGGGAGTGTTGGTATGTTTTTTCATTGCTGTCTGGATTTGGGAAAAGAGTGGGGCTCTGACATTCATTTTTAATACTAACCTGCTTTTTAATAAAACGCATTTTTATTAAGCATGACTGTCAAGAATGTTCTGTTGTTAACTTTTGGGACTGCTCTTTCTGTGTTATGTGTCAGTGGGGCAGGGGTGAAATTTGGGTCTTTGGGTGGAGAATTGTGAGTTTCAATGAAAGTGAACCATGAGAAAGGAGGAAGCTGTACTGTTCCTTTTACCAAGGGATCAGGGAAGGTGTTTGGTTGTATATGTTAGAAAACAAATGAATTTTCAGGAAACAACAGCACATTTTAATCTAAAGAAAGCAACTTGCACTTCACAGTGATTTCTGTGCAGCGCTTTTAAGGACATTACAGAATGACAGGCTACAGTATTGGCATCTGTAGCAAACCTTTTTCATCTGCAAAGTTTTAGAATTTGAAATCAAAATACTGTCAGCTTAAGAATCTTGTTGCAGAAAAAACAGATGCCTTTGTTCCTCCTGTCGATAACTTCATGCAGCTTTGATTCTAAAGCTCCTGAAGTTTATTTCACGTTATGCTGATTTTAACAGAGCGGGGATTGGATTCTGCATACATGTCCTCATGGGATTGGGCTTTAATTATACCTATGCTGATAGTATGATCTTGTGGGTTATCAATGCAGTGAGACCAATATTGTGATTACAGCAGGATTTTTAGGACATAATGAGGAGAATTTTTTTTTTTTTTTTTTTTGAGGAGGGGATCAGTGTAACTCATAACCCTAAAGGCTGGTTTTATTTGTAAGATTAGTAATAAACTGTATTTTAGCATTCCTGTATTGACGACAGCTCCCTTCTGACTCCTGTTAAATTAGGATAGCTGGGTAGCAAAGTGTGTTCAGAGTTTGTATCTGAACACTCAGTCATGCAAACGGGTTGTGTGGTAGCTGTGAATACAATTCCCAGGGTTAATGCTAAAGATAAGTGTTTTGACAAATGCTTTTAATTTGGGGAACAATACAAGCAAGAATGACAGGATATGAAAAGAAAGTGCTATTTTTTGTCTCGCAGGTGGCAAACAAAGGTGTAGAGGGATCAACTTGCCCAGGTTCCTACAAGGACTCTGCAGCAGAACTCGTAATCAGTCTGTGATCTCAAGGGTTTGTCAGGGCTTTAATCAGTTTTTCTCCCTCCCCTCATTAATTGGCTAGCTTTGACATTTTGAAAATAACATCTAGAGATTATTTCTCTTTTCTCCAGTTTCAAACTTTATCGCGTGAAGTTTTTTTTGTTTTGTTTTTCATTTTTAGTCAAGCCTTGAAAACACAAGGTTGGAAAACTTGATCTGAGCAGCACCTCCCTGACATATGATACTATCTCCAAACAGCCTCTGACAAGTGAACCCTCTCATTGAAATCATGTGAGGAATTTTATTACTC